AAAGGCGTTGGATAAGTTTGGGAAAAACTTAACATCAGATATTTGGCNCAAAAAAAAATGACTTAGCGTTTTGAATTGCCTTCTTTGTTTGTGGTTTTTCCGTTGGTTGTATTAATTTTGTTTTTCTAATATTCTTCTGTTTTGAATTATTTAAAAAAAAACGAAAAAAAATAGAGAAAATGAAAAATAAAAAAAACGAGAAAATAAAAAACAAAGAAAAAACAAAAAATGAAAAAAAGAAAATAAAAAACAAAATAACAAAAAATGGAAAAAAAGACAAAAAATAAAAAATAAAAAACAAAAAAACGAAATGATAAAAAATTAAAAAACAAAAAATAAAAAATAAGAAAAATAGAAAAATGAAATAATGAAAAATGAAAAAAAAATTAAAAAATGAAGAAATAAAAAAAAATGAAAAAATAAAACGAATAAAAAAATAAAAAATCGATTTAAAAGTTTATTTGCGCTTGGTTGTACTAGTTTTTTCTTTACGCGACTGTTTATGGTTTCACTTATATTATTTCTTTCCTTGGTATTTAATGTTCGTTTTTTATCGTTGCAGTTAATGATTTTAACTGAAACGAACTATGAATAATAATATTTATCATGAATTTCATGCATACCTTTTTAATTATAAATTTTGTGCTTTTTGTGCAGTTTTAATTAATTTTATTTATTTAACCTTTATGTAGTACTATCTATATTTAAGTGTATTTATGTTTTTTATGTAGTTTTTCAAATCAATCTTATTTATTTTTTATCTAGTATATATGTAGTCGTTAGCTTACTTTTTGGTTTTGGAGAGAAGAAAAATTTCGTTTGAATTAGTGGTGACTATTTTTGTCGTACAGTGAGGTTTAACTGCACTGAGTTTTTAGATGTTTTTAAGTTTGCAAAACTTAAAAATTCGCCACTAAATCTTTAGCATTTTTTTTAATTCCAATTTTCCTTGATGCGATTTTATTTTTGTGTAATATTTTTAAGCGCTTCATGATTTCTTTACTTATTTGAATTTCTAGCGGTTAAGCTTTTGGCCATATTTTGTGATAAGATAATTTTTCCGAATAATCCAAATCTGCGACTCTTTTCTAACTTGTTTGAATTACGGATATTCTCTTAGGCTTTGCTTGAAAATTTGAATTTGTGTAAATTTATTTGAAATTATGATTTTTTAGATTTCTAAATTTTGATCGATTTTTTTTAATTTCCTCAGTTTCCATCTTTTTTTTTGAATACCACAATTTTTGGAAGTGGAAATTTCATTTCGACTTTGAGTTTCGTCGAGTGTTTTAAACATCCGAATTCCTTAGGACCTTTTTTAGTTTTATCGAATTTTTGTTTTTTGAGCTTTCGAATTTGCTTTAAGCTTTTTCTAAGTTTCGAGTTGCGAAATTTCAGAAGCTTACAAATTATCAATTTTTTTTTACAATTTCTCGATTCTCTTGTCTGTTGTAGTGATTTGCAAAGCATGCTTATGAATTCTTTACTTCACCTATACCTTCTCCTAATTCCAATGCATTTTTTTCTTTTTTTTCGATGGTTTCTTAAATGTATGCTTTTGCTTGCTGATTCTTGGGTGCTGTTTGGTTTAAGTGTTCTTTCACTTTTTCGGTTCTTTAGATTTCTGAAGTTTTTACGTTCATCAAATTTTTTGATTAAATTCCTAAAATTTTTTTTCAATTTTTGTATTTTTTGTTAAATCAAATAAATTCATCGAATTGCGAATTCTTATGAATTACCGAATTTTTTTCAATGTTTTTGATTTTTCAAATTTTGCTCAATTTTCAAGATTTAAACACTTTTGATTATTTGAATTTTGCTCATTTTTCAAGATTTAAATATTCTTAATTTTTTGAATTTCGCTCAATTTTTCGTTTTGCCATAATTTTTGCTTTTTCTTTGCCGTAATTTTTGCTTACTTTGCCTTTCACTTTCTTTCAATGGTTTCACTGGAATTTGTATTTTGCGCTTTCTGTTTGCACACCTTCATTTTAGATTTCTTCGCATTTCATTTTCTTCCCGTTTCGAACGAACTTTTACTTACTTTTCCTAACTCAGTTATGTATTTTTCTACAATCTCCACTTTATGCCTTTTGGTTATTTTACTTTTTGCATGCTTTTTACTTTTT